GTTAGAAACATTTAGGCTGGCCTGCCTACGATCCATCCTGGGTTTAACCAGGCTGGATTGTGCGAGGAGCTCACACATCCTTGAAAGATCTGGGCAGGGTCCCATCGGTGAGCTCCTCTGGCAGGCAAGGCTGCGTTGGCTGGGTCATGTAGCCCGCATGCCCAGCCACCGAATGCCGAAACAGCTTTTGTTCGGCCGGATTGAGGGGGCTAACGGGCGTGGCACGGGCTAGAGAAGAGATTAAGTGATGTGGTACAGAAGGACGTGGAGCTGAGTGGACTTGCCGATGACTGGTACCAGCGGTGTCAAGATCGGCCTCTGTGGAGGAGGCTCGTGAAGGACGCTACTGGGCAGTTGGAGGCAGTCGCCCTCCAACAACAACGGAGGGCGGAGGAGCAATGCTCACAACAACAAGCGGAGCGCCGGGTGGCTAAAGCACAGCAGGTTGGCACAGTAGGGGGCACAGGTGGTGCATCAGTCAGTCATCTCAGTCATCTCATTCAGTCGACCCGTGGCACCTGGGTCTGCCCCGTGACCTCCTGCCAGCGGGCGTTCGACACTTGATATCAAGGTGCACATGGCCTGGCACAAGCGTCGTGGTGACGTCAACGCCACTTAGTGGCGAATGGCGGTTGTTGTTGTTGTGTGAGTGTCTCTGGGTGAGTGTCTCTGGGTCAATGTGTGAGTGAGTGTGTGAGTGAGTATGTGAGTGGGTGTGAGTGTCTCTGGGTGAGTGTGTGAGTGTCTCTGGGTGAGTGTCTTTGGGTGAGTGTGTGAGTGAGTGTGTGAGTGAGTGTGTGAGTGAGTATGTGAGTGGGTGTGTGAGTGATTGTCTCTGGGTGAGTGTGTGAGTGAGTGTGTGAGTGAGTGTGTGAGTGGGTGTGTGTGTGAGTGTGTGAGTGGGTGTGTGAGTGTCTCTGGGTGAGTGTGTGAGTGAGTGTGTGAGTGAGTGTGTGAGTGTGTGAGTGGGTGTGTGAGTGTCTCTGGGTGAGTGTGTGAGTGTGTGAGGTGAGTGTGTGAGTGTGTATGTGAGTGAGTATGTGAGTGGGTGTGTGAGTGTCTCTGGGTGAGTGTGTGAGTGAGTGTGTGAGTGAGTATGTGAGTGTGTGAGTAAGTGAGTGTCTCTGGGTCAGTGTGTGAGTGAGTGTGTGAGTGAGTGTGTGAGTATGTGAGTGGGTGTGTGAGTGTCTCTGGGTGGGTGTGTGAGTGTCTCTGGGTGAGTGTCTCTGGGTGAGTGTGTGAGTGAGTGTGTGAGTGAGTGTGTGAGTGTGTGAGTGAGTGTGTGAGTGAGTATGTGAGTGGGTGTGTGTGTGAGTGTCTCTGGGTGAGTGTGTGAGTGTGTGAGTGAGTGAGTGTGTGAGTGAGTGTGTGAGTGGGTGTGTGAGTGAGTATGTGAGTGGGTGTGTGAGTGAGTGTCTCTGGGTGAGTGTGTGAGTGTGTGAGTGAGTGTGTGAGTGAGTGTGTGAGTGGGTGTTTGAGTGAGTGTGTGAGTGAGTGTGTGAGTGGGTGTGTGAGTGTCTCTGGGTGTGTGTGTGAGTGTGTGAGTGAGTATGTAAGTGGGTGTGTGAGTGAGTGTCTCTGGGTGAGTGTGTGAGTGAGTGTGTGAGTGAGTGTGTGAGTGAGTGTGTGAGTGGGTGTTTGAGTGAGTGTGTGAGTGAGTGTGTGAGTGGGTGTGTGAGTGTCTCTGGGTGAGTGTGTGAGTGAGTGTGTGAGTGAGTATGTGAGTGGGTGTGTGAGTGAGTGTGTGTGTGAGTGGGTGTGTGAGTGTCTCTGGGTGAGTGTGTGAGTGGGTGTGTGAGTGAGTGTGTGTGTGAGTGTGTGAGTGAGTGTCTCTGGGTGACTGTCTCTGGGTGAGTGTGTGAGTGAGTGTGTGTCTCTGGGTGAGTGTCTTTGGGTAAGTGTGTGAGTGTGTGAGTGAGTGTGTGAGTGTGGGAGTGTGTATGTGAGTGAGCATGTGAGTGGGTGTGTGAGTGTCTCTGGGTGAGTGTGAGTGAGTGTGTGAGTGAGTGAGTGTGTGAGTGAGTGTGTGAGTGAGTGTGTGAGTGTCTCTGGGTGAGTGTGTGAGTGAGTGAGTGTCTCTGGGTGACTGTCTCTGGGTGAGTGTCTCTGGGGCTTGAACCGGCAGGACACTGCGACGCTGTTCTGTTTGCCACTCCGAGTGTCGTCTAAGCCGCAGGGGTCACACATGGAGAGAGGGTTCCGTAAGGGGTGGGGGGGGTGTGTGGGGGATGTATAAGGGGGTGAGTGGCAGCAGGGGGGTAGGGGAGAGAGCAAGAGAGAGAGAGAGCTGTGTGGATAAAAGGAGAGGGAATTAGAGAGCGGAGACCGTTTTGTATACACGGTGAATGTGAAGGCTCTGTGAATAGGCGTGTGTATCATTTCTCTGGGGACGTTTGCAACCACGAACCCCACCACGAGAGTTCGACTCCCCGGCCACAGTTGTACCGTAACCGGAGCGGCGCTGGGCCTCCCCGTACATCGACTCGGCCTTCAGGGAGCAAACGCCCCCAGTGTGGTGTCTAAACATCAGCACTGGGGAGACAAAGGCGGACGGGTGTAGCGTTCGGCACGCGGTCACACGCATGCTCGCTGACAGCACGTGTCCCAGCCGTCTGCAGCGTTGTATGGAAGATCTGCGCCCTCTGTGTTCAATGCCATTTGCCTTAAAATATATATTAGCAAGGTTTGTTACGCGGTGATTAAGTGGAGTTGTCACCTGTCCTGGTTTGACCCGGACAGTCCGGGACTTGGCGCCTGTGATGGGGTGGCAGGGAATTGATCCGTGCCGAGACCTGATCCCCGGTCGGTTTTGTGTCGGACTTTATTGCAGAGCACTGCGCAGTTCGGTCCACAGTGGACCAGGTGACCCCGCATCATGTATGTATATATTTTAATTTGCGGATCTTGAGTTCATCCACGTTTAAGCAGAAACCCGAGTTTAATATCACAGGCGTTGTTGTGGCCAGACCGACACCACCAACTTGAGACGTTCACTCGAGGACCCAGTGTCATCGTAAGGCGGATTGGGGACTCGGATTCGAACCCAGCTCCTGACAGCGTTGCTGGCCTAGGGTCCCTGCGAGGGCCACTACGAGCCCCCTGTGAATGCGATCTGAGCGCGGCTGCGGGAGCGCGCACGGGTGGGAAGATCTGGGATTTCAGCTGCTCATGCGGTATGGGGAGAGAGTGGGAGACCAGCGGAGAGAGTGGGAGACCAGCGGATAGAGGTGGGATCAGGGGGGAGAGACCAGGGGAGAGATGAGCGGGGGAGACCAGGGCAGAGAGAGGGAGACCAGGGCAGAGAGGGGGAGACCAGGGGAGCGAGGGGGGACCAAGGGAGAGAGATCTCAGGGAGGAGAGAGAGAGAGAGAGATGGAGACCAGGAGACAGAGGGGGAGATCAGGGGAAACGAGAGTGGGAGTTATGGTAGAGAGGGGGGAGACCAGGGGGCACTGAGAAAGATGGAGGTGGCAGAGAGAAGGGAGGCCTCTGCCTGAGGGCCGTGGTGCTTGTGCGCTTTGTCGCCATGTGAGCATGCCCTCTGACCTCACTCCGCCCAAAACCTGCAGCCAATCAGCTGAGTTAAGGGGCAGAGGTTTCCAAGGATGACCCCTGACCCCCTAGAGCCCCCTGCATTCCTGGCCTCTCCTCCCTCTCCTCCCTTCTCTCGCCCCTCTCCCATCCTCCCAGCTCTGAGTGAATACTTCTCAATGCCCCCCCGAGCGGAGGTGGGGGGAAGGGGGAGGGGTGTCGAGGGGGGGGGGCCTCATGATTCACTGCCCCTCTTGTGAATGGATAAATTGTCACGATTTCAGGGACCGACATTTTTGATTCATGAATCGATTTATTTCCTTGGCCTCGTCTTGTTTATATTGAGGGAGGGGTTGTAATTGCTCAGCCTCATTTGTAGACATGTGTTGGCCTAATTAGCCTAATCGTTAAACCGCGATCTCATTTGCATATCATTTGCACACTGCTTAACCACAGTCAACAACATCGCACCAACAATCATCATGAATCTGGCAGTGGTGCTGGTGGTTATTGTGGTGGTAGTGTTCCACTGGTGGTAGTGTGGGGAGCGGTAGTGTAGCGGTTTGCTCGTTGCGCTAAGAACCCGGCGACCCGAGTTCGATTCCCGCTCACGGCCAAGAACAGTGACGGTACTGGGCCGCCTCTGTCGACTAAGCCTCAAATGAGTACCTGGTGTGGTGTGTAAACATCGCCACTGGGGAGACAAAGGCGGCCAGGCGTGGTGCTGGCCACCCACCGCCTCGTGTGCCGTGCCGGCCTTCATTGGCGCTCGCTAACAGCACATGCCACAGAATGTTAAGGCTATACGGGGGATCTTTGTCTTTGTGTAGGTCGATCTTGACACCGCTGGTACCAGTCATCAGCCAGTACCAGCGGTGTCAAGATCGGCCTCTGTGGAGGAGGCTCGTGAAAGACGCTACAGTGCAGTTGGAGGCAGTCGCCCTTCAGCAACAACGGAAGGTGGAGGAGCGACGCTCACAACAACGAGCGGAGCGCCTGGCGGATAAAACACTACAACTTGGCAGAGATGGGGGGCACAGCTGATGCATCAGCCAGTCATCTCAGTCAGTCATCTCAGTCATCTCAGTCAGTCGACCCGTGGCACCTGCAGGGTCTGCCCCGTGACCTTCTGCCGGCGAGCCTTCGACACGTGACGTGGCACTCAAAGTGCACCTTGCCTGGCACAAGCGCAGTGGTGAACGGCGGTTGTTGTTATACAGTATACGGTGGTGCTTGAGTCACTCACACCGAGAGCGGTGTGAGTGACTCGAGGTGGTGGTGATATGCCCGTCAATGATGAATGCGGTGTGGTTGCTGTGTTTATCGGAGAGTTGGTTGAAGGGGGGGGGGAGGGGGATGAAGGGGGGAGGAGGGATGAAGGGGAGGGGTAACCGGATTAGGAACCATCTGTCCCACTCACGTGGGCCCCTCCCCCCCCCTCATCCCCCCACCCCTTCTTTCCGCCTCAGCACTCGACTACTTTCCATCGAACTCCTCCTCCTCCGCTACTTCCACACTCCCAGGGCAGGAACGAGACTTCACCACTGAAGCCATCAGCAGCAGCCAGCAGCAGTCAGCAGCACCACCACCGGCGTGCGCCCCGTGTCGTCTTAACAGACGCTTGGGGCAAGTGCTGATCGCGATCCAGCCTATGAAGCGGTTGGCTGGCCACCATCACGCCCGCCCGCCTTTGTATCTCCAGTGGCGGTGTTTACACACAGCACCAGGTACTCATTTGAGGCTGAGTCGACTTAAGGGGGCGTCCATAAATGACGTCACGCACCTATTGGGGGGGGGGGTCAGACATTTGTGACGATGTGTGACGAGGGGGAGGGGGTTTGAGAAATGTGACGTCACATCAAAATGCGCAACTTTAAATAAATATAGACAACACGTTCTACTTAATTCAGCGCCACATTAAATACGCACTACAATGACAAGCATGTTTTATATATATATTTGGGGGGGGGCAGAGCTTTGTGACGTCATATTTTAGGGGGGTCTGGCTTTTTGTGACGCCGTGTGACGATGCGTGGGGGGGGCGGCGTCAAAAATCGCGTGACGTCATTTATGGACGGCCCCTAAGAGAGGCCCAGGACCGGTTCAGATAATCGTCGTTGGTGTTGGCCGTGATCAGGAATCGAACTCGGTTCGCCGGGTTCGTAGGATAACGCGCGAATCGCTGCACTGCACACAGCAATAACAGTGCCACCACCACAACAACTACTACCAACACCACCACCTCCACCGTCTCCACCATTTGCATCACCACCACCACCTTTGATGTTCTTGTTCCACCGTGCCCGTCCTTTCGTGTGCTTTATTGACTCACGAGATGTAAGTCGACCGATAAATAATAATTCCATGACATGCCAATGGGACCGTACATTTGGGTGGTCACTTATAACTTGGCTAAATTCCAGCGCTGAGAATGTAGCGTCAATCGTGGCTGTGATTGCGGGCACGGGTAATGTTTCTCGTGTAGATCATCAGCATCATCATCAGCAGCATCAGCAGCAGCATCAGCAGCAGCAGCATCGTCAGGCATGGACAATCCACTGCTGGGTGAACGTCTCGCCAAGCCACCACCACCAACTCTCACAATCCTGCGATGTAAACTAAACCATTTTATAAAAAAAATATTTTACCAGGTAAAGCCCACTGATCTGATATGTCGCTCTTTTCCAGAAGCACCTTGGGCTATCGCAAATGATAGGTCAGCGAAGTGGCTTATCGCATGGAAGCTTATAGCAGACAAATTAATAGCAACCAAAAACTCTAAACGCGTGACGTTGATTCTAAACGTGGAGGGGAAAGCCAGGAGGACCCGGAGAGAAATCCACGCGACCACGGGGAGAGAGAGACACCGCAAACTCCAAATATACAGCAACAGCAGGCGTCAGGGTCGGGATTGAACCCACGGCCTCCTGCATAACCAGGCGAGGTAGTTAACATCTCCTAGCCACGTAACAATGTAATGACCCACGTTTGTATTAAGAACACGCCTCCTTCACGTATCTGCCTGTCCACCACCACCACGAACATCATCGTCGAGACGCAGGGCCATGGCGTGCTGTTGCTGTTGGACGGCAGCCTCGACAGTGAACGTCCAGGCCAACAGCGCCTCTCCACAATAATAATAATAACAATAATAATAAACAAATATATACTGTGTAAATGTGTGTGTGTGTGTACTGCACATGTATTTCTCGCACAACCTATCGGCCCCAACGGCACTCTGTGAGTGCATGCTCTCAGCAGAATTGATTATGCACGAGCAAGTGAGAGGACAGGCGAGAGGGGGAGTAGGAGGCACCTGAGAGCATCGGAGTAAGGGCAGGTGAGAGGAAAGGTGAGAGGGTAGATGAGAGGGCAGCTTAGGGGGCAGGTGATAGAGTGCATGAGAGAGCAGGTGAGAGGGCAGGTGAGAGGGCACGTTAGCAGACAGGTGAGATGACAGGTGAGAGGGTAGATGATGAGAGGGCAGGTTAGCGGACAGGTGAGATGACAGGTGAGAGGGTAGATGATGAGAGGGCAGGTTAGCGGACAGGTGAGATGACAGGTGAGAGGGTAGATGATGAGAGGGCACGTTAGTGGACAGGTGAGATGACAGGTGAGAGGGTAGATGATGAGAGGGCACGTTAGCGGACAGGTGAGATGACAGGTGAGAGGGTAGATGATGAGAGGGCAGGTTAGCGGACAGGTGAGAGGGTAGATGATGAGAGGGCACGTTAGCGGACAGGTGAGATGACAGGTGAGAGGGTAGATGATGAGAGGGCACGTTAGCGGACAGGTGAGATGACAGGTGAGAGGGTAGATGATGAGAGGGCAGGTTAGCGGACAGGCGAGATGACAGGTGAGAGGGTAGATGATGAGAGGGCGGGTTAGCGGACAGGTGAGATGACAGGTGAGAGGGTAGATGATGAGAGGGCGGGTTAGCGGACAGGTGAGATGACAGGTGAGAGGGTAGATGATGAGAGGGCAGGTTAGCGGACAGGTGAGATGACAGGTGAGAGGGTAGATGATGAGAGGGCACGTTAGTGGACAGGTGAGATGACAGGTGAGAGGGTAGATGATGAGAGGGCAGGTTAGCGGACAGGTGAGATGACAGGTGAGAGGGTAGATGATGAGAGGGCACGTTAGCGGACAGGTGAGATGACAGGTGAGAGGGTAGATGATGAGAGGGCAGGTTAGCGGACAGGTGAGATGACAGGTGAGAGGGTAGATGATGAGAGGGCAGGTTAGCGGACAGGTGAGATGACAGGTGAGAGGGTAGATGATGAGAGGGCACGTTAGCGGACAGGTGAGATGACAGGTGAGAGGGTAGATGATGAGAGGGCTGGTTAGCGGACAGGTGAGATGACAGGTGAGAGGGTAGATGATGAGAGGGCTGGTTAGCGGACAGGTGAGATGACAGGTGAGAGGGTAGATGATGAGAGGGCACGTTAGCGGACAGGTGAGATGACAGGTGAGAGGGTAGATGATGAGAGGGCTGGTTAGCGGACAGGTGAGATGACAGGTGAGAGGGTAGATGATGAGAGGGCAGGTTAGCGGACAGGTGAGATGACAGGTGAGAGGGTAGATGATGAGAGGGCACGTTAGCGGACAGGTGAGAGGGTAGATGATGAGAGGGCAGGTTAGCGGACAGGTGAGATGACAGGTGAGATGGTAGATGATGAGAGGGCAGGTTAGCGGACAGGTGAGATGACAGGTGAGAGGGTAGATGATGAGAGGGCGGGTACCATTATCTCCTGGGATTCACAGAGCGGTGTCATGGGTGTCCAGGTCTCCCCCCGCTCCCACAGCTCTTCCCCCCTCCACCTTCCCCCACTGCCCCCCCTCCCCCGCGCCCCCCCCCCCCCCTCCACCTCGCGTGTCGTCGCTGTGGTCCTAGGAGCGGAGTGCGGGAGACAAAGACGACTCAGAGCGCAGAGGGAGTGCGGGGGGGGGGGTGAATTTGGTGCGGGGAGGAGTAGGGGGGGAGGGAGGGATGGAGGTGGGGGAGGGATGAGGCGTGGAGGAAGTGACGATGATGATGATGATGATGACGACGATGATAATGATGCTGATGATGACGACGACGATGGTGGTGCTGATGATGACGATGGTGCTGATGATGACGATGGTGCTGATGATGATGATGACGATGGTGCTGATGACGACAATGGTGCTGATGATGATAATGACGACGATGTGCTGATGATGATGATGACGATGGTGCTGATGATGATGACGACGATGGTGCTGATGATGATGACGATGGTGCTGATGATGATGATGACGATAGTGCTGCTGATGATGATGACGATGGTGCTGATGATGATAATGACGATGGTGCTGATGATGATGGTGCTGATGATAACGATGGTGCTGATGATTATGATGAGAAAGAGGATGAGCGTGGGGAGGAGGAAAACAATTATGGTGATGGGGCTGAAGATGATGAGTGGCGGAATGACGATGCATCGACTGATTATGATTCTGTTGTTGCTGACGATGATGAGGAGGAAGAAGAAGAGTTAACGATGTAACTGAAGATGATGCCTGCAGCTCGAATGGCTTCTGATGATGATGTTGTTGCTGCTGATGCGTAATATGATTATGACGATAATAAACATGCTTATGATTTTGCTGCAGATGCTGCTGATGATGGTGAATAAGTGGATGATGCTGACGACGACGAGGAGGACGAGGACGAGGAACAGGGGGCAGGGAGTGGGGGGCTGGATGGTCGAGGGGGCTCGGTCCCGCTCCGCTGCTCGCGTTGCCGTGGTGACGAGGAGAGCGAGGAGTTTGGGTGGACGAGAAGAGGGTGAGGGGGGGTGGGGTGAGGGGGTAGGGGTGAGGGGGCGAGGGGGTGAGGGTGGGCGAGGGGGAGAGGGGGGAGGGGGGGAGGGAGCAGCTGTTTGGCTGCACGGCGGGTGGCGATGATGGACGGGAGAGGTTAATTTGTGAATACACTTTTTGTCCATTTTCATTTTGCAATGGGTAATGCAATGACCACGTGTGTGTGTGGAAGTGTGTGTGTGTCAGTGTGTATCCGTGTGTGTGTGTGTGTCAGTGTGTGTGTGTCAGTGTGTGTCAGTGTGTGTCAGTGGGGAGCGGTATTGTAGTGGTGAGCGCGCTGCGCTCTGAAACCGGCGAACCAAGTTGGATTTCCGCTCACGGCCAACACCAGTGACGATTATTTGAACCGTTTCTGGGTCTCCCCTAGATCGACTCAGCCTCAAATGAGTACCTGGTACAGTGTGTAAACATCGCCACTGGGGAGACAAAGGCGACCCAGCGTGGTGCTGGCCACCCACCCCCTCGTGTGACGTGCCGGCCTTCATAGATGCTCGCTAACAGCACTTGCCCCAACAGTCTGTTAAGGCTATACGGGGGATCTCTGTGTGTGTGTTTCCAGGTATGTGGGCGAGCGGTGGTACAGTGGTTAGCGCACTGCACTAAAACCCCGGCGACGAGAGTTCAGTTTCCGGCGACCTCTCACGTCAGTGGTGAATGACATCTAAACCTGTTCTGGGCTTCTCTTTGGTCAACTCAGCCTTAAACCGGTACAGGTGTGGTTGGGTTAGGCCTTCAACCAACTGTCCATGAACAAACATTGCTCTGAATAAAATACACAAAAAAAATGTATTAAGCGTCAACGTATCCATCATTATTATCAGCCAAGTCCAATCCACTGCTGGATGAATGCCCTTCCCCCCAAGTGCGCCGTCACGTCTCAAGACCCCTGCGATGTAACAATCCACCCCGGCACCTCGTGCACACGAACAGAGCTGCATGGCTCCATCTCCACGTGCGGACGCGCCTCTCGGAACGCGTTCCGCTCCTCGTCCCGTTCACGGAGTGCTGCTGCAGAGCGACGAGGAGAGGGAGGCGGAGGAGGAGGAGGTTTTGTAGACGTCATCGGAGTCAGTCACGTAGCGATGGGACGGGGGTTTCCCGCATTCGGTAGGCCGGGGATGTCGGTGTGGCTGAAAACTTTTGAACGGGAGCGAGCAATCGACCACAAATTAAAAAAAAAGGAATCGATTTTCACGTCAAAATTATTTAACTTAATATATCTCTTTTTTAATTTATCAGGTAAGGCCCCACTGAGCTGTACAGCTATTTTTCAAAAGCGACCTGGCGAACACAAACGATAGCTCAACAAAGTGGCTTATCATGATGTGGACATTTATCGCAGCCAAATGCTCTAAACGCGTAATGACGTTGATTATAAATGTGGAGGGGAAAACCGAAGGACCCGGAGAAAAATCCACGCGACCACGAAGGCTTGTAATTAGTGCCGAAACGTCGTACCCGAATTGTAAATGTTGCGGGTTTACGCTTCAACACACCGGTGTGCTGTACTCGTAACGAATTGCCACGTTTGGTTTACGTGACAAACCTTACTAACTCGCGTTTTGCCCGTCCAAGGACGGGTGTGTTGCAGTAAATGTGAAACTTGCAAGCGACAAGCAGACCGCGACGTGATATTCATTGCGTACATTCGCGTGTGCAATTTGTAAGGGCGCGGTGACACGGACCTGTTCCATTTACAGGTAATCTAATGCCTTGTTCATCACGACGTCCATAGCGTTACGGAGATCACGTGACGTGAGGGTTCTTTGTAGTGAGGGTTGTGAGTTGACGCCGACGAGGGGGGAGGAGGCGCCTCGCCCCCCCTATGTGGAGTGACGTCAGCCGATAATTATTATTAATGGAGGGGGAGGGTGTCCATGTGGAGGACGTCACCTTATAGTGATTATTAATGAGGGGGGCTGTTCGATGTGGAGTTGTCAGCTGCTCATGATTATTAATTAGGGGGAGGGTGCTCCATGTGGAGTGACGTCACCTGCTCATGATTATTAATTAGGGGAGCTGTTCGATGTGGAGTGACGTCACTTGCTCATGATTATTAGTGAGTGGGGGGGGGGTCCATTTAGAGGACGTCACCTGCTCATGAATATTAATGAGGGGGCTGGTCTATGTGGAGTGACGTCACCTGCTCATGAATATTAATGAGGGGGCTGGTCGATGTGGAGTGACTTCACGAGCGTTAAGGATAGACATTGCTGGGTGATTATAGTACGTATTCGCTGTGTCGGGTGGTGGCGGGTTTCACGACACATTTATATTGACGCCATCTAACCCAAACACACCTCTAGCATGGACGCAAACCCCAAATGTATAACAGAAATCAGGGTAGGGATCGAACCCACGAATCCCCTGTATACCAGGCAAGCTCGTTAACAATGAATACGACGATTATAATTAATCAACTCATCGTTGTCTTAGTTCGAACCAGCGTCCCCAGCCATCCTGGACACCGCGCCCTCCATCGCCGCGCCCCTCGCTTCTTCTTCTTATCTGATCGCGAGACCACAGATGCCTTCATTTATTAAAGGAGCCTCCCCCCGACCGCCACCCGCACCGAACAAGGGCCTCGTGGACCCAGGCCGCCCCCCTCTGTGGAGGGCCTCCCAGGCCACTGGGCCCCCATCCCCCCAACCCCTCCCCCCAGCAATTTGTGGAGCGGGTTTCCATTGCGCGGTGTCGCACTGCCGCGCGCGTTTTGTTCGGCGCGATGTCCGACGTTTCGAGGCATGCAGCACGACCGCCGAAATCCTACGCACGTCGAGTTAGTGTCCTAACCCTGCGCGTGATCGCTGGTTTATTATCAACATCATCATCATCAACAGCAGCAGCAGCCACGGTCAATCCACTGCTGGATGAAGGAACTCCTCCCCAGGAAGAAAACACCGCCGCCTCTCGCGATCCTGGGATGCACCAATCCACGCGGCTGTGAATTCGCGGCTCCATCTCCGCGGGCCACGCGCTCCCTCGGTCGCGATCCGTTGCTCGGTATTCAGAGACACGCCGCGCCGCCTCTCGCCACCCTCTGAAATGGCTGGGTGTAATTAGAGCCTCTTCACGTCTCCCCCAACGATCTCAGTACACCTCCGTGAACACTTCTACCGCGCCCTCTCATCCGTACGACCTGCAGCCCCATCGCAAGCGGTAAACATGCCAAGCCGGGCGTGTGGTTGTGGAACCGTCGCACCAACGTTACACCAACGTTGGTGTAACGTTGGCGAGTGGTTGCTGGGTGCTTTCAACTCTGTCACCTGTTGAGCAGGAAAAAACCAATCGAAAGTTATTTCCCGTTCAAATAAGCGCCGAGGCGGTGGAAATTCCACGTTTCTATGGCGGGGAAGAGTTGACGATGCAGCGATCTTGCTGGGACTGTTCCACCTGAAGACCGAAGCGTGTGTTGTCTCCGAAACGTCGTGATTTAATTGTTTTATCTTATTGTTATTTTACCTACGTGACTTTACCGAAAAAAACAAAGAGTATGAATCCTTGCAGTCACGAAAGCTTCAAATCTCGAAAGAGTTGACGAGTTTATCCCAACGGAAAACCACTGACGACTTTCCTACAAAGTGTTACCTATTTTAGCGACTTCACACTCTTCCCGCTCTGCCCACTCTTCCCACTCTGCCCACTCTGCCCGCTCTGTCCACTCTGTCCGCTCTGCCCGCTCTGTCCACTCTGCCCACTCTGCCCGCCCTACCCACTCTGTCCACTCTGTCCGCCCTGCGTCCCCCCGAGTCGCCCCACGTCGCCGTAGGATCCTCCGCTGCCGTGGTTAAGAGCCCCAATTAAGGCGGCTGCCGCATAAGGAACTCATTGACCTCTTCCTCCCCGTGACCTCTTGACCTGGGACCGAGTTTAGGGGCTGCGGAGCCACGCTCCGGGGTCAGGGAAGCGAGGGACGAGGGCAGCCCCCCCCCCATCCACTCCCCCCCCATCACGCTCCGTGCTGTTTAAGATGATTTTCAATTGCTTTATATTTAAATTGCTTTATATTTTAATTGCTTTATACTTCGACCGTGTTTCTTGGGCGGGGGGGACGGTGGCACAGTGATTAGGACACTGCAACTACAA